CTATTCAATGTTGTATTGTACTTTCTAGGGCAATATGGCAAGAGAAGGAAATAAGAATTATACAGATCAGCAAAAAGATGGGTGAAACTGTCACTATATGTCGATATGATAGTGTATACAGAACACCTCAAGGACTCAACACAACTGTTATAGCTAGTAGTCCAATTTAGTAGAGTGGCAGGGTACAAGATAAATATACAAAAGTTAGTAAGATTCCTCTAGAGTAACAAAGAAAACACAGAGAAGAAAAATAAGAAAGTAATACCATTTACCATAGTCAACCACAAACTGAGATACTTAAGAATAAACCTAATTAAAGACACAAAAGATCTTTACCAAGAAAACTACAGAATATTTCTGTGAGACACAATAAAAGACTTAAATAAATAGAAAAATGTTTCCTGTTCATGGATAGGAAGACTTACTATAGTGAAAATGATGACCTTATCAAAAGCAATCTACATGTTTAATGCAGTCCCAAACAGATACCAAATTAATTTTTCAAAGATATGGAAAACAGAATTTGCAAGTTTATTTGTAGAGGAAAGAGATGCCAAATAAACAAAGCACTTCTGAAAAACAAGAATAAAGTGGGAAGCATAGCACTCCCTGATCTCAAAACCTACTATACAGATGTAATAACCAAAACAGAATGGTACTGGTATAATAACAGCCACATAGACTGATGGAACAGAATTCAGAACCCAGAAACTAACCCATCTATTATGTGAAACCTATACTTGGAGCAGGAAGCATTCCTCAGAATATAGCAAGGAAACATTGCATGGTTCAAAATCAGAAAAAGAGTGTGTCAGGGTTACATCCTGTCCTCATACCTTTTCAATCTTTATGCAGAACAGATCATTTGTGAAGCAGGTCTTCAGGTGGAGGAATGTAGCACCAAGACTGAAGGAAGACTCATCAACAACCTACAATATGCATATGATACAATCTTGCTTGCTGAAACTGAAGAAGACCTGAAGCACTTGCTGCAGAATGTCAAGGATTGTAGTATTCAATATGGATTGAAGCTCAACATCAAGAAGACAAAGATTCTCACCACTGGGCCAATTGGCAGCACTATGATAGATGATGAAGATATTGAGGTTGTTAGCAATTACAGCTTGCTCGCCTCTACAACCAACACTCTGATAGGAAATCAAAAGACAAACTGCATTGGGAAAATCTGCTGTCAGGGACCTCTTTAGAGTGCTGAAAAACAATGTCAGTCTAGAGACTAAGGTGTGCCCAATCCCGGCCATGGTCTTTGCAATTACTTTTATACATCAGAGAGCTGGACAATGACTAAGGATGAGAGAAAAATTGATGCCTTCGCGTTGTGATGCTGGAGAAGAGTCTTGAACATACCACGGACTGCCAAGAAAACAAATATATCTGTCTTGGAGACGGTGAAACCAAATCTTTCTTTAGAGGCTAGGATTTTGAAGCTCTACCTCACTTACTTGGGGCACATGGCCAGAAGATATCAGTCCTTGGAGAAGGACATTATGCTCAGAAGGGTGGA